GAGAAAAGGTGGCGGAACTCAAACCTGGCCACGCCCTCATCAAACCCTAGGACCGCCCCTTTAGAGAACAGGAATGCAAGTAAAATTTGGGAGGGGCTATTTCCGGTGTGGGAGGGGCTATTTCCGGTGCGGCCGGCCCGGAAAAAGGTGCCGGAACGCGGTTCCGCCGCGTTCCGGCTGAAAAAAAGCCCTGGAAATATTAGTCCCAACTCGCACATACTGGGGCCTATCAATAGGAAAATCCAGAATCCAGTTACACAAAGGAGTATTAAAGCCTAAAAGGCCCAGTTTGTCTACTAGATGCTGAGGAATGATTGTATTAAATGCTGAACTGAAGTTGACAAACAGCATTTGCACATGAGTGTTTCTTTCCTCTAAGTGTGCCAAGATCAGATGGATAACAGAAGAAATAGCATCCTCTGTAGAGCGATTTGGACAGTAAGCAAACTAAAGTGAGTCAAATATTGGAGGGAGGCTGGATACAATAATGTCCTTTATCAACCTCTCAAAACATTTCATAATGATGGACGTAAGTGCAACTGGATGGTAATCATTGAGACCTGTACTTGTAGACTTTTTGGCACTGGCAAAATAATGACCATCTTAAAACACGATGGGACTACTGTCTGTTGCAATGAAAGATTGAAAGTATCTGTAAGAACACAAGCCAACCCGTCTGCACATTCCCTAAGAACATGCCCAGCGATATTATCTGGACCTGCTCCTTTCTAAATTTTAACTTTCTGCAATGTTCTCCGGACAGAGGTAATATCAAAGCTAAGCACTTGCTCATCAAGATGGGGCATAGCTTTCCTCACAGGGATGCTGTTTGATGCCTCAAATCTACCAAAAAATGGGTTCAGCTCATTGAAAAAGTCTGCATCACCATGCATCACCAGAGCTTAAAGTCCATATTCAGACTTGTTAAAGAAGACGATTTGGTGGTCAGATGAATGTAGGCTGCCAAATTCCCAGCAGCAGTTCAAGAGTTCCTGAGATTTCCTGGCCATTAGAAATGTGTGATAGCAAATGCAAGGAGCCTTAGGTGATAATTATTCAAAGTAATGTTAATAGATGTGAATAAGGGAAGATTGGAGAGAGATTGTTGAAAGTGTAATATGACAATTTTAGTGCTTATTACTTTTTTCGACTTCAAAACGGCGAGAATATTTGCATTCAGTTTCAATCATCATAGTAATAAAGGGAGGACATAAATGATCCGCAAAATATTACTCAGGATCAGAGGTTGCCCATCCCAGGTTAGAAAATTAGCAGAATGATTGAATGGAGGCCTGACCATGGACTGTAAGCAGAAGCCCTGGATAAAAGAAAGCAGTATAACAGGATGAGTGTTGGAGTATGTGAATTTTAGGTACAGCTATGAATTTTCAAAGTGTTTGCTAAGAAGAAGAGTGCAGGAGTGAGAGGAAGCATGTTTGCATGTCGGAACAAATGAGTTCAAATGAACAAATAAATGAGCCTGGCTGCAGCCATTTTTTCCCCCCTTTCATTTGAAGTTGCCACATGGAACGGAGGGAGGGGGCTTGCCCAGCTGCTTCGCTAGTCAAAACAATCAGCTGTTCCGTGGGAACCAAGGTCATCTATTGCTCCCACAATCAGGGACTGGGGGTTGTATAAGAAAGCCTACCAAATGCATTTATTGGGGAACGTAGTCAATTACATAGTTTTGGGGGTGGAACTTTATACTTTGTATCTGAGGGATTGTTATGGGGAATTCAGAATTGGTTTCACTTTTGACGGTGCCAATACTTTGTAACAATAAATATGTTCTTCGAGGAATTTGTAAGCGTCGTTCTGCTTTATTCGTCTGTCAGAACCATGACACATTGGAAGAAGGTGGAAATTATATCAAGACTTGATGGAATGGAGAAAACTCGACATGGCAAGGAAAACCTATATGAAAAATAAAATATTACAAAATGTTCAGATAGTAGAAAGATTTGCAGAATTGTGTAAATTAGGTGCTTACTGATTAATATTGGAATGACCAGTGTGAATGGTTTTTTAAACAATTTACAAAGTGGCAGAATAACAAGCAAATGTTGTAAAACAACTGTATTCTAAAATGTTTCAATATAATTGTTAATTAATGCACTTCTTATAGTTTTGGGGCCTTATTGGTCATGAAGTACACATTTATATGTATAGTATGGAGAATTATGCAAAATTACTTCCATGGTTAAAATGTTTATGTTTGAAAAAAAATCAGTTTATATTATGTATTTTTCAGTTTTTAAGAAAAGATATAGTCAAGAATTCATTTCCAAAGTTGTTGCCCAATGCTGTACCATCATACTTCAGCAAAAAAAACTGTTTGCCAAATTGTGACATGTTGTTTTCTTTCAATAGTCCAGCTGTTGAAATACACTGAATTTGGTGAGTCAGAAGAAAATGCTGGAAAACAGGAGAGTTGGAAGAGCCTGTGGCTTTTTGGAGGCTGTATTGATGAAATAAGATACAGAAAAGTAGAAATAGTTGCTTTTAAGTCTTTTGCTGAAATTCCAGCCTAACTTACTTGCCTCAAGTAAGCTTTTTAATTATCTTATCTCCTCATTTTCCAAATAGATGATATCATTAATGCATTGCCATCTTGCCTCATTGCTGGATGCCCAGACTAGAGATTGTCATATCAATGGAACTCCACCTGCGAGTGCCATTCCCTCTCTGTGCTTGAACTGAAGTCCATTGATTGAGATCACTCACATTTTAAGTGATATGGGATTTACAGTACAATTCCATAATTCTCTCTGACATAAATATAATTAAGTTTGAAGCCTGGACATTTTACACCCTATAATTTGCTCTCAGAGTCCTCACTTCTTGCATGAATTAGGTTTATAATCCTATCCATGCATCCTTCCTTGACAGTAGGTCTTCTGGAAAACAGTGGGTCTTCCTCTGAATAGATCTTCATAACATTGGCATTGTCTGCAAAGGCTAATTGGAGTATTTTCCTTGCTATTCAATTAGTCCAGTCAAAAGCTTAAACGATGGTTTTACTTATCAGTCATACTAAAGCTGATAATTGTGTAATGCTTCATAATGCTGCTTAAGTGCTTGAATAGTAGGAAGTAAAAGGAACAGTAAGAAACTTGGCATCATATCATTTTGGAATTCAAAATGCGAAGAGCAGCCCAGAAATCCATGGCCAGGGCTGAGCTCCAATTTTGCAATCTAACAGCAGCATTTCAGTTGTTTACTCAGTTGGGTAGTAATTAGCTGAACCAGATCTCTAACATATTGTTCAGGGATGTGATTATGAAAAGGATTTGAGGCACTCTTCTTTTTATTATTATTATTATTATTATTTTAATTTCTATACCGCCCTTCTCCCGCAGGACTCAGGGCGGTGCACAGCATATTAAAAACAGATACAAAAACAGATACAATAACAATATACAAAAATAAAACCCTTCTAAAACCAAATTAAAAACCAAATATTAGAGGCTTGCTTGCTTTGCCTCTTCCACCCCAATGGAATCTGCAGGTGATATTGAAGTGGATTTGAAGTAGAAAGTTATTTGTGTATATATGTAGGTTCCACATGTAGATTTTCCTAGAGCTTCCCAACCAATAGCATCTTAGAAAGGTAGAGCTGCCACATCACATGCACAGATCCCTTTGGTCGGTTCCAGAACAGTGAGAGGTTATGTTACCACTCCCTTTCCTGTCAGGCTTGACTCCCACATCCTTCCCTTGGCTACAACTCCATTGCATAACTGCCTTAGAAGAGAAGCCATGGCAATCTCAACACAGAACAGGAGATCAGAGGATTGTTTCCAACATCAGCAACAGCACACAAACTTCCAATAATTTAGCATTTGTTTCCACAGCAGCTCCTTAAGTCCCAGTCCCCAGGTGTGCCTTGTGGAAAGAGGCAGGGTGCTCTCCTCCTGAGTAGTCAGGTCCACCTGCACTGTTCC